AAAGAAAGACAAAAAGGGAAAATTGCATTCAGCATTTATTTTGCAGTGAGCTGTTAATAGAGGAGGGACGCACCCCAGCCCCCTACCCCTGGTACAGCACTCAGCATCAAGCCACCGTAGCTTTGAATTGTCTGAGAGCATCTATACTTTCTTTATCTTGATTTATTTACTGCATCCATCAGCAAGATGGGTCATAAGCTATCCGAAAAGCCTAAGAGGGGTTAATTTTGGAGTCTGGAAATACTCAAAATTTTCTCCTTGTAAATTAATGGCAGTTGCTTTTTCGCTTTACGCCATTTTCGCTAATGAAAGGTTTCAAAGGAAGGCTCTACTTTCGGATAGTGGGGAAAACCTGTATGCGGTCTGATACTCCTATAGAAGGCAGTGGGGATTTCAGTCGGGTTTCTCAGCTGAGTCCATAATGCTTTGCAAGCTCACTGAAATTAAAACCTGTACTCGTACACCCCAAAATTGTTAGTCTCTTCAGTAATAAAGATGGGACTTAATTTTTTTATGGTCTCAATAAAACATTCAAGTAATTACATAGTTCCATTCATACATAGCAAGATGTATCACAAAGTGAGTAACAATGATTCTGGGAAGAACAGGATTAGTTAGTTGCGTCATCTCAAGGAATGAAGGGCCTGGAGAACAATACTTCTCAGAGGTCAGCCTTCCTCAGGTCAGTTTCAAATGTAAGCGATCCTACCTCGGTTCATCCGTACTCCCTGGACTTGCTCTGTACAGAAAGTTTAGATTTATTCATATTGATCTCATCCTGGTTTAGATCTCTAGGCTTTTTTTTTTTTTTTTTTTAAGATTTTGTTTATTTGTCAGATTGAGGGAGAGTGCAAGTAGGGAGGAGCAGAGCGAAAAGGGAGAAGCAGGCTTCCCACTGAGCAGGGACCCAAATGCAGGACTGGATCTGAGGCCCCTGGGATCATGACCTGAGCTGAAGGCAGATGCTTAACCCACTGAGCCACCCAGGCGTCCCCCTAGGTTTGTTTTGAAAAGAATTTCCTTCCTCTTTGTCCTCCTTCTATTCCTCCTCCTTGCCTTCCTTCTCCCTTGGACTCACAGATACCTAATTCTGGAGTCCCAAATATATTCTCCTCAGTTTCCCAAGAAGCCTAGGCAGCAGTTTCCAAATCAGGATTCGCTCCCCAATCCTCTGGGGGGAGCTTGTAAACACTACAGATGTCAGATTTTACTTAGGCTGATTGGAATCTTTCTAGCTACAAAAAGTGTAAGGGAAGAATAGCCAGAAACCATTCATTCATTTGTTCATTTGTTCATCCATTCAGTAATTTTTGAATGGAAAATGTGCAGCATGTGTGGCTGTGTACTAGGTGCTGAAGATCCAGATGGAAATAGAAATGAGTCTTGCCTTTAAGGGATTTACAGTCTGGTGGGAAGTAAGTGGGAAAGCTGAATAGGTAAAGAAAGGTGCTGAGGCACAAAAGGAGAACTTAATTCTGCTTACGGGACTTGAAGCAGGTAGTCGGGGACAGGAGTTTCCTGGGCAGAGAAGGACATTCAAAGTAGAACTAGGTTATGTGAAGGTATGGAGATGTGAGAGAGGTTAGCAAGTATTGGAAACTGCATGTAGTTCCTCATGCGTGTATGAGAAAACAAGAAGTAAAAGTTGTCGGTGGTAAAGGAGCAACACAAGAAAATTTCCCAGAACTGAAAGATACGCGTTCACTGAGAGCACAGGCTGAGAGAGTTCACTGAATGTCCTACCAGTGAATGAAAGACTCTCCTCAACATGTGCTGTTAATTTCAGCTTCCAGAAGTGAATACAGGGTCCTAAAAGTGTTCAGAGAAGAAGTAATAGTATAAAAAGGATTAGTTACCAGAGCACAGTCAGGCTGCTTTGCAGCTGCATTAGAGACTAGAAGACTATGAAGGAATACTTTTGAAGTTATTTCCTACCTGGAATTGCAGAGCCAGCCAGGGTACCAATGAAGACATTTAAAGGCACACAGATTAAAAAAAAAAAACAAAAAACTGCATTCTGGATACTCTATTAGGTTGTTAATGGGAGATGTACTCTGTTAAAACAAGGGAATAAACCAAAAAAGAAAAAGCAGGGGATTCAAGGACAGGGGTTCTCACAGAGAAGATGAAAGAAATTTTGGGATGATGGTGAAGGGAAGTTCCAGTCCAAGTCAGGCCTGTATAGCAACCATTCAGCCAGATTGAATCCAGATGAAGAGTACAGGAGGAATGTTTCTGAAAAAACAATAGAACATTCTCCCCCAAATTACCAGACATTTTCATTTTGTTAGAAGAGGTTTGCAGTTCTTGGGAGAGTTCGATGCAGTGCATACGTGCTAAGCAAACAACAAAAATGGAGCAACTAATAACTCTAGGAGAAACAAAAAGTTATCCAAGAAAGAAAAAAAATCATTGAATCCCACATAGCAGTCCTGAGAATATTTACTTTGTCTACAGTAGTCAGACTACTGACTATTGATTTAACTAAATGTTAAAATATATTTGGAAGTTGGGAGGATTGGCAAGTGTGATGTATTTCTATGCAGGAATAAAGGAGATTTATGAAAACTAAATCCTTTTCTTCCACAAGGAGAAGTTAATAGGTAATATCTGAAATGGAACAATCGAGAAATAGCAATATGAACACATTTTGTAGAAATATAGAGGTAAATAGCAGAAGAAAATGCTAGAGTAGTCGAAATTAGTTCCCTCTGGAGAGAGAATTGGGTGTGGGGAGGGGTGGAGGAGAGTTTTATTTTTTATTATAGGCTTTGTAGTCCTATTTTATTTTTATACTTTGATAACATTAAAATAACAATGTAGACCTCGCATCAGTAACACGCAGGGAATCTTGCAAGTGGTGCTTCAGATTTTGTTGAACCACCTTTGTAGCTTGCATATTCTTTTTACCTACCTTTGGCACATTCCTAAATTTTATCCAAACTTTATTCTTTTCTATAATTAACTGATATGAATTGAAGCAAAAGTTAATAAGGTAAATTGTTGACTCACATGTGTATAGACTAAAGCTGGATGTGGTAGGTTTTTTGGCCCTGTATTTTTATGTAGACTGTAAGCTAGCTTTTAAACTTAAAGTGGAAAAAAAAACAAAAAACAAAAAACAAAAACAAAAAAAAACAAAACCCAATCCTCTCTCTTGTCTTCTCCAAGGGGTAAAGCAGAGTTTGACTTCGTGTGGGGAATCAGCATTCTTGGGGCATTTGGCTGGCTCAGTAGATACAGCATGTGACTCTTGATCTTGGGGCTGTGAGTTCAAACTCCACATTAGCCATAGAGCTTACTTAAAAAAAAAAAAAAAAAAAAAAGGGAAGAAAAAAAGAAGGAAAAAGAAATCAGCATTCCTCAGTGACATGATGTTCCAAAAATGGGGCTGCTAGTCAGCTGCACGTTAAGATCTCTGAGCCGACTGTGTACAGCACTCAACAGAGCTTCAATTTGTTTATGAAGAAAATTTGTCCATTTATATGGATACAAACTGCCCCCTCCACCTTTTTGTTTTGAAAATAATCAAACCCCACAGAGAATGGAAAGAGTAGTGAAGCACTCCTATAACTTTTGCCTAGATTCATGAGTTCTTAATATTTTGCCACATTTGCTTCCTCTCTCTCTATACCCATGCACTGTTTTTGAAAGTTGAGGGGAAGGTTGTACCATTTTAAATCAAGTTGTAGGTATAATGCTTAAATATGCCTCCCAGTAGTCTCCCAAAAACAAGAACATCCTCCTACCAGACCAGAATACCATTATTCTGCATGGATAAGATAATAGTACCCAATATATAGTTAGTATTCAAGTTTTCCTCAAATCCCAATAATACTTTCTGTAGATTTTGTTTTTTGATGCCAATATCCAGTCGGTGGTCAGTTACTGCATTTGGTCCTCATGTTTGTTTATGTCTCCTTATGAAATTTTTCTGCCCTTTTTTTTTTTTTTTTAAATCTTTCCTGACATTAACAGTGATGAGGACCCAGGCTTGTTGTTTTTGCATGTGTATGTTTTTGTCTCTTTGCTCCCTCATTGTGAGAATCTGGTTTACAATTTGGCAAGAACATGTGTGCAGACTTTTGTCATCCACCTGCTTCTTACGCAGGTTCAAGATTTTAGTCCATTGTTTTCTTGTTTGTAGGTTTTTGTTTTCTTTTTCCTGCTCATCTGTGGTTTGGCATGGGGTGTAAAGAATGACCACTTACCTGGATAATAGTAAAACTCCTTAGTCTGCAGAAAATATCACTGTAATAATCTCTGGGAGGGGTAATCTGTTCCTCTGGAGACAAACATAATATTTTTTTTTTTAAACATTCTTGGCAGAATTCTTTGGATGACTTAATATATTGTAATCAAGGGCAAATTTTCTCCTCTTTAATTAAGTTCTGCTACAGTATACAGTCCAGGGAGCCACTTGTGGCAAACCCTTGGCCAGCTTTTCAGTCATCCCTCCACGGAACATTTGCTTTCGGAATAGACGCCCTGAACGTGTGTTGAGTTTGCAGCATTTTGGCCCTCCCTGTGCCGGGATGCCCGGCCGCTTAGGTTATGTATATTTTGCGTGAAGTGAGCACAACGTGGAGAGACGGCGTGCCTCGGATACCGGGAGAGCTGTGCAAGCTTGCTGCCGAAAGCATGCCTCCCGTCTGTCAGGGCTTTGTGATAGACCTGGTGACACAGTAGCCTTTCGCCAGAGCTCCTGGGGATGTGCAGGAAGTACCGTGACGGGTTTTGTCAGGGGGGAAATCTGAGCCATTTCTCTGCGAACAGCTGGGTTTCAGAGTCTGGACAAGTGGCTGTTGACTTTTGCACGGGCTGCCAGGGTAAGGGTTTTTCATTTTGATTTGTTCATAGCCTTGCTTTCCTTTCTCCTAAGTCATCACGGCTCTTTCTGGAAGTTTTGCGGCGCTTGTTACACGTTATCTAAAGTGGGATTCAGAGGATTGGTTCTAATATGTTTATGATCCAACTTTTTTTTCGCTTTGTCTCCGCAGATTTTGTGGGAGTCTAATCCTTTGTCATTATGAGATGTCGTCTCTCGGTGCCTCCTTTGTGCAAATTAAATTTGATGACTTGCAGTTTTTTGAAAACTGCGGTGGAGGAAGTTTTGGGAGTGTATATCGAGCCAGATGGATATCCCAGGACAAGGAGGTGGCTGTGAAGAAGCTGCTCAAAATAGAGAAAGAGGTAAGGTCTTCTTCTGCTGTCAGGAATGGTCGCGATGGCACTTACGTAAGCTGTTCAACCCCAGTCAGAGGTCACGGGCTGTCAGGGACCTCTCAAGCCAGGCCTTTGGGGCTGATCCACGAAGCTGTTTCCCAATTCCATTCTGGGAGCCCCAGAAATAGAAATCCCTGCCACATGTGCTTTAGGGTTGAGTTCTCCTAGGGGTCATCTGAACTGAGAGGATTTGTTTCCAAGGCATGAAAGACCGAATGTTCTCTGGGCTCTCCTTGAGGGGAAGGTGAGGTTTCAAACCTTCTGAGGCTTCAGGCTTTGCCTTTTCCCAGGTCAGCCGAGAGGGGTCAGTAAAGAGTAATGTGTGAACATTTTTACTCCCTTTCTATTTTGGGTTTTGTGAATTTGTGGCCATCAGGAGTTGTCTTTTAAAAAATAAAAAGCGTTATTTTTCTACTGAAATATAAATAATACTAGCTTCTTGGATTTCACCTCTACTTGGACTTCGTCTTAATAAAGAATTAACAGGTGCTAGACAAACAGCTGCCCTATTTGTAAAATCAGAAAGGAGCCTTGGCTTCCCGAGTCTGGCACTTGTGCTGGTTCCGGGGAAGCACGCGACTCCTACCAAGGCCCTTCCTCTTCCTTAGGAATAACACGCAGCGTGGTCCCGGAGTCCCCAGTTTAGTACCTGGAGAATAAAGCTAATTGTGGAGCTGACCTGCAGGGGCTCAGTGGCATTCGCAGCTTTTACCCTCTGGAGCTAGTTTTGGTCATTTCTATTTATGTCCTGTTTTGGCTAATTATTGTGGTGGGTTTTTGTTTGTTTGTTTGTTTTCCCCCTGTGTCTTTTTAAAGGGAACTTTGCCATAAATATCTTTTAATCTCCCCTGAATGATTTCATTTTTGTTTTTCTCCATTAACTGCTGTCAGTGAACCACAGCAGTTGATTAGAGAAGGGGACCTGAAAGGCAACCTTTGTGGTGTTTCCTCCCAGAAGGGCTGTGTGACTCTGGTCACCAGCTCGGCTTCCAATTTGTTGAAGCCAGGTGAGCAGGACTAAGATCTTTCTGCCTGAGGGTACCTGTAGGTTGTGGAAAGCATTAAAGAGCGATAGCTTTTCATGACAGTGTGTATACAAAACAGACCGGTGCTATGTAGAAAAAGTTTCCTCCCCTTTATTTCTCCATGAACACATTTTAAAATAGCCACATAGTAAAACCATTTCTTACTCTGGACAGAGCCTAGCTGCGTTTATCTAGTGAACTCTTATGTCCTTTACAGGCAAGCATTATTGTACCCATTTTCTAGATGGGGAAGTAGAGATCTGGAAAATGTATTAAGGTACCTCAGGAGGGGCAAGTAAAATCCAAGAGATCAGATCTCTTGTTCTGTAGTTCTGAACTCTGAAATCTGTAGTTGACCAGATTAAATAGAAAATAAACCAATTCCATCAAATTTATATTTAGAATATTTAAACCTGCTAATGTTTGTAAGCATTAGGTCATGCAGCTTCTGTACAAGCATGTTCTTAGACGATTGTTGGGTGTGAGAAAGACCTTTGAGTCCAAGAGCAGATTTTGCCAGGAAAACAGTAATTGCAGCCTACTCACTCCACCCCCACACCCTATACATAATATCATTTATTATTTTATTTTATTTTTTTACTATCTTTAAGAAAGCAGGAAAATGACATAGGAAAGCACGGGGGTGGGGAAGCAGGAATTGGAAACGCCCAAGTCCGGCTCTTATGTAGGTATTTAACCTAGATGGGTTATCATTCAGAAATTGAGTTGATTTACAGTGATATAAATACAGCTTTGGGGGCTTGGTTTGCCAGTGACTGTCAGCGAAAAGGAGACGGGGTGAATTACTGCAGAGCATCCTCCAGCTTACTGAGTCAACATGCGTTTGGGATAGAAAACATTTTGGCCAGGGCTTGGCAGTTATTGGGAAAGGCAATGCGCATTTCTTAGGTTGATTTTTGTTATGCTTTATGAGCTATGGGTGAGCTTGCTGGCTAGGCGTTTTCTAAGTAAGGTAAAAGTAGTAAGCTCTGGATTTTTTTCCAATGTGTAGATTCAGTTTTATGTTACTTGATCACTTTTGCCAAGAAGCAGTGGGACGCTTAATAACATGTTTGTAGCTCACTCATGGAACTCTTAAGAGGGACCTGATGTTGGATTATGTTTTATGAACTTAGTGATGAAAGGTAGGTGGAGAAAATATTTACCAAACTCTTGAATTTCACATATGTACGAGGAAAGAAGACCTTCTATTTTGACTTTTTTGTAGACCTCTAATTTAGGATGTGTTACTTTTCTCGGCATTAGTGAATATTTATTAATTTTTTAATTTAGAAGAAAAGAAAAATTGAATTTATTTAAAATCTGTGTAGTTTTTTAAAACTTAATTTTTAAAAGATTTTATACCTAGGGAATAACTATAAGAATGGTACTGTGAATTCTAGCATTCCCCTGGAATCACCACTTATTAACATTTTTCAACATTTGCTCTCTCTTTATATATTATATTAATTTATATGTATTCATACATATTTATTTATTTTGAAAGAAATCGAAAGAGAAAGAATGGGAAGAGGGCAAAAGGAGAGAATCTTCAGACTCCCTGCTGAGCGTGGAGCCCGGTACAGGACCCTGAGACCATGACCTGAGCTGAGACCAAGAGTCGGATGCTTAACTGACTAAGTCACCCAGGCGCCCCCATATTCATCTATATTTTATTGAACCATGAGATAAATCACAGGTACTAGGTACATTTATCCCTAAACACTTGAGCGTCTCCCAAGAATGCAACCGTAGCACAACTATCCAATTAGAAAATTTAATACTAATGCAATAATATTACCTGTCCTACAGTCTGGATTCAAATTTTGTGGACTGTCCCAGTGAGGACTTTTTAATGGTAGTTTTTTTCAACCCAGGATCCAATCAGGATCACATATTACACTTCAATGGTATACCTGTTTAATCTGCTTTAACTGGGCAGTTTCTCTGCTCTTCTTTGTCTTTTAAAATTTGACATTTTTGAAGAGTGCAGGACAGTTATGTAGAATGTCCCTCATTTTGGGTTTATCTGATTTTCCCTTCCTCTTGCCTAGTTTAAGTTTATGTAGTTTTGGTAGGAATACTTCAGAGGTCATATGCCCTTGGCTTATTTTAATGGGAGACCATGATGTCAGTTTGTCTCGTTACTGGTGATGCTAATTTTGAACCTTCGACTAAGAGGGGTTCACCCAAATTCTCTACAGAAAAAAAATACCCTTTTTGCCTTTGTAATTAATAATTAAGCCTTTGAAAGATACTCTGAGGTTATGTAAATATCTTCTCTCAACAAAAGTTACCCAATGTTTTGAGCATCTGTTGGCAACTCTTGTTTGAATCAGATGTTATTATGACCATTAACTGCGTAGACAGCAAAAAGTTCTAGCATAAATGAGAGCCTTCCTTTCTTCATTTACTTATTTACCTGCTCATTCACCGATTGTCTTTTTATAGACTTCTGGATTCTTTTTCAAATTCAAAATGTTATATCGTATTACATTGTTTCTCACTTTCATGCTGAAAATGTCCCAATGCAAGAGTCCCTTCAAGTTAGTTCCCTTGTCTTTTGGTGTCTCCATCACTTTTTAGCATTTTCTTACTTCCTTGCACAAGAAGATGTTCCAGGCTGATCTAGTTCCTGCTTGATTACTGGAATCAGTCATTTCTTCAAGAAACCTTGGTTCTGGGTACCTGATTTGGGACTCTGATATTTAGAAACCAAGATTTGGATACAAGTTTTGTTTATTATAGACTTACTTTTATTTTTTTATTTTTTAAAGATTTTATTTATTTATTTGACAGAGAAAGATCACAATAGGCAGAGAGGCAAGCGGGGGGAGGGGAAGCAGTCTCTCCACTGAGCAGGGACCACCCCCGCCCCCCGACGTGGGGCTCTATCCCAGCATCCTGGGATCATGATCTGAGCTGAAGGCAGAGGCTTAACCCACTGAGCTACCCAAGCGCTCCAAGTAGATTTACTTTTAAAAAAGAGCTGAGGTGTCTTGGTGGCTCAGTCTGGTTAAACCTCTGCCTTCGGCTCAGGTCATGATCTTAGGGTCCAGGGATCAGCCCTGCATCGGGTTCCCTGTTCAGTAAGAAGCCTGCTTCTCCCTCTCCCACTCCTCTGGCTTATGTTCCCTCTCTTGCTGGTGCTCTATCAAATAAATAAAATCTTTAAAAAAAAAAAAAAAAGCCTTTGGGGGTGCCTGTGTGGCACAGTTGATTAAGCATCCACCTCTTGGTTCCTGATGAGGTCATGATCTCAGGGTGGTGAGATCGAGCCCCATGTCAGGCTCTGTGCTCAGCACAGAGTCTGCTTTAAATTCTCTCTCCTTCTCCCTCTGCCCCTCCCCACCCCTCACTTTCTCTCTCTCTCTCTCTCTCAGAAGGTGAATAAATCTTAAACAGTAAATAAATAAAAAAGAGCCTTTGTACTTTGGGAGAAAGAATGGTTATAGATAAATTTTACTTCTGGAAGCATTTAATTTAAACATTACTATCATCCATATGGTTAGCTATGATCTATAATATGCTCCTGTTAGGGATGTAAATTGGTAAACTTCTAGGAAAGAGATTAGCAAAACATATAAAAAATCTTAAAATATTTACTGTCTTTGAGCCAGAAATTTTATTTCTATGACTTCATCCTAAGGAAATAATCAGAGATGCGCAGAAAGATGGAGATAATAGGCTGCTCATCTCAGGTGGCTAATGGTGAAGAACTGGAAAAAGCCCAAGTGTTCTATAACAACTTGTCTTTTAAATTATGCTACTTCTCAAACACACACCAAAGGCAAATATGGGGGGGGGGTGATGCATATGTTATTTCCGTTGTGTGAATCCTTTCACAATATATGCATATAGTAAAATCATCATGTTTTATACTTTTAAAATATTACAATTTTATTTGTTGATTATACCTCAGTAAAGCTGAAAAAATTATTC